ACAATTATACATAAATAGATTAATTAATTAAATATATGGTCTCATAGTTATACTAATATTTAGTATTTTTATTTTCAATAATTATAATTAATTTATATATATATTTAAAATACTGTAAATAAGTTATTATTTATTTAAATAGATTTTACTTAAAAATTTTAATGCTACAAATAGAAAGACCAGAAGTGGATTTTTTTTTTTAAAAACTAATATAACTAAAAGCTTAATATTAATTAATTAAATAATAATATTTATAAATAAAATTTACTTTATAATTAAACAAATATATATTACAAACTATTTTTAAAAAATAATATAATAATATATATTCATATATATTTAATTAGTAATACTTTATATTATTATCTGTTAATAAATTGAATAAATTATTTTTTTTAATTTATAATTTTAAAAAACTGTATATATTTATTTTCATTTATTTAACTAGTTTATTATTATGTTATTACTAAAAAATATTAGTTTCCAACTATTTTAGTATCAACTGTTTTGCCTAATTTTTAAATTAATTAAACCAAAATTAATATTATAAAATTTAACTTATTAATTATATATATATTTATAAATAAAATTTACTCTATAATTACACATAGTAATTATTAAATTCTATCTTTTTTAAATTTAGAAAGTTATTTTATATAATTAAAATAATTTATAGTGTTTGTCTAAATTTTATATTTTTCATAATAATTGGTTTATTTAATAATAGACAGAAAAAAACTAAATCCCATAGTATTGATAAAAAAAATAATTATAACTTATTTATTTATTAGATATACTGTAACTTAGTTTTTATTTTATTTTATAATTTATTTTCAATAAGTTATAGTAGAGATTGAAAGAAACAGAGAATTATTGTGTTTAATAATATATATAAACATAATTTTTTTTTTAAATAATAATAAAATTATATATTTATTTAATTTTATTATCTATATTTTGTCTACGTGTAGGGTCCAAATTAAAAACAGTATTGAATAAAATTTTAAATAAATTTGTTACTAATCAAAAAAATAAAACGTTGATAGTATAGGACAATCCATTTGACAAACTAAACACTCGATTATTGGTTTCAATGATTTGGCTAATGATTACCACAAGCGTACGGTTACGTGCACTCATGTGTACGTAAATTATATTTAAGATATTTTCTAAATAACTGTAAATAAATTTATTATTTATTTAAATATTTATTTAAAAATTAAAATTACAAATTCAACTATAATTACTTTAATAATTAAGAAGATATATATATATATATATATTAAAAACTTAGTATTAGTTGTTAAAAAACAGTAATTTCTATACATTTTTAATGATGATTATCTATAGCTTATATAATAATGCTATTAATCTAAATCTATAGTCAAAATATTTGAAAATTAATTTTAAATAATAATATATTTTTTGTATTTAATTATCTGTTTTAATTGTATTTAATATTTATAGTTTATAATTTATTAATATTTAATTGTATTTACGAATATATTAAGATATAAATATTATTAAATTATTATCAGAAAGAAACATTTGTAAAATATATTATATTATTATATTGTGTTGTTTTTAGATGTTATGAAACTTTTTGAATTTAATTATATCTATTTATGGTATCTTTCGTTGAAATTTATTTTTTAATTAGTATAATGTGTATAATTTAATAATTATTATTTATCTTAATAAAGATAAAAAATTTAAAATCAACAAAATTATAACTATTTAAATATTATAATATTTAATTTGTTTATTTTTAAGTATTTAGTAATAGTTAGTATATATATCAAATTAGTTTAGATTAAAATTTAATTGTAATTTTATAGAAACAGATTTAGTATTATTTTATATTTTTAGTAAATTTTATATTTGTAATGTTATACAATATATTTAAAATTTATAAACAAAAATTAATGTTAAATAAATTCATAAATTTATTTTAATTATTTTTACAAACTTTACGCATAGAAAATTATTACTCTATTCAAAAATATTATTTAATATATCTCTATTTGGTTTGCCATAAAATAACCAAAAAAAAATATTTTAATTATTATATTATACTTTATTTAACAACAAAAAAAACTGTAATTGTGTTAATTAATTAAATATTTAATATATTGATTAGTTGTTAAATTTGTACGTTTTTTCCTGATGCGCCCCTTTTTGACCATGGTATATTATAAATTATAGATAATATATCTAATTTATAATAAATAATAAAATTAGCACCTAATGGGTGGGTTTAAGGGGGCTAAGAGGGGTTTGAAGCTTTAGATAGTAATATATTTAAATTTTAAAGTGCAATTTTTAACATAGCCAGTGTGGCCGAATGGTATAGTGTACGCATTAAAATCTATAGATCCAGAGTTCGAATCCTTATTTTGATATTACATTTTTTGATTATTTTTTTTATTTTTTTTTTAAATAAAAACAACTAATACCATAATTAGCTTATTATTATTATTATTTTTGCATCAAAAACATTAAATAAATACATTTTTAGTACAATAATTTATGTTAATATAATTTACATTAAATAATTAAGTTTTTTCAATATATAAAATTGGTATATTTAATGTTTTTGATGCAAAAATAATAATAATAATAATAAGCTAATTATGGTATTAGTTGTTTTTATTTAAAAAAAATAAAAAATATAATCAAAAAATGTAATATCAAAATAAGGATTCGAACTCTGGATCTATAGGTTTTAATGCGTACACTATACCATTCGGCCACACTGGCTATGTTAAAAATTGCACTTTAAAATTTAAATATATTACTATCTAAAGCTTCAAACCCCTCTTAGCCCCCTTAAACCCACCCATTAGGTGCTAATTTTATTATTTATTATAAATTAGATATATTATCTATAATTTATAATATACCATGGTCAAAAAGGGGCGCATCAGGAAAAAACGTTCCATGTGTGTCAGTTAGCAATTTCGTTTGCTTATTTTATAATACAAAGATATTAAAAAAAATTTTAAAAATCATTTGAAATTTTATATAATTATTAATAGTTTTTAAATTTATTTATATTTAATTTCATTTTATCAATAAGTTATAAATATTATTAAAGTACAGTATTATTAGCTTAGCTTAGCTGATATTTTTTTGTAAAAACTGTAATTGAAATTATATTTAATAACATAAATATATTAATTATTTAGTTTATATAGTTATTAGGATTGGATAAAGGAAAAATTATTATTATTATATAATTAATTTTATAGAATTTTTATTAATTCTAAAATTATTAAATTGAATTTAATTAGATATGATTTTAAATATTTATCATAACTTTCGTTGATATTTACTATTTAATTAGTCCTAATGTGTATAATTTAATAATTATTATAAATACCTTATAAGATATTTAAAAAAAAAATATTAAAATTAAAAATAAAAACTGTAACTATCAAAATAATAAAATAAAATATAGATTATGACTGCACAAATAATTTGGATGTATTTAATATGTTATTTATAGTATTTTATAGTAAGTAATTTATATATATATTTTTATCATAATTAATACTTTTATTTGTTGTTAGATTATAGGTTTAAATTTAGTTTTCAAATGTAAGTATTATTAATATTTAGAAATAAATAATTATATTTATAAAAACTTAATTAATAAAGATATTTTAGTAGTTATGTTAAAATTGTTTTTTAAAATAATTTAAAAAATAAAAATTTAATCTAATTCACAACATTTTTTACCTAACAAAAATTTTCTATTATAAATTTATTAAATTTTCTATTTTATTTTTGCTGAATTTAAGTTAAACAACTTATAAGCAAATAAATCATTTTTTTAAAAACATAATTATGAAAAAAATAAGATAAAAACTATAAATGTTATTTAAATTTAAATTTAATAATTATTTAAATTATAATTAATATATGTCTAGGAAATATAGTAATATTTACATCAAAATAAACTATAAAATAAATTATAATTAAAATTATGTAAAATTTAAAATGTAGTTAATTATTTTTAGTTTAACCTATAAGTATATTCAATTGAATTAATTTATTTTTTATATGATTTTTTACAATTATTTTTTTTTAGTCTATACAAGATTTTTAGTTATATATGTATATATATTGTATATATAATTTAAGTCGTATATACAGTATATATGTTTATAAGATAACAAACATATAAAATTTAAATTAATTAATATTATGACTATTACTTTAAAAAAAACATTTACACTAATTTCTAATGTTTTAATTAAAACTGTAAAATTATTATTTTATAATATTTTATTTTATTTGTAACAATGAAAATGTTTTTAAATAGACTATATATATATAATCACTAAATTAATTTATTAATATCGTTGATTTCATTGTTAATATTTTAAGTTGACAGCTATAATTTTATTTTATTTTTTAATTATTATTATTCAGTAATATATTAATACTATTAGAAAAAATTAATTGTAATTTTTGTGAAAATTGTAAATAATATAATAATAATTAAATAATTAAAATATTTTTTATCTCAACTTAAGTTTTGAAACATTTACCATTAATACCATATAAACAACATTTAAGTTATTCATCTGTTTAATCAAATTATTGTATATATAATTAAATTTTTATTTTAAAAACTATAAATTATTTATATATATATTGTATATAATGTTTACTAAAAATTATTATAATTTATTTAAGTGTTTTCACAAAAAAAAATTATCTATGATTTTAGTTTTTTTTAACAATGTTTATTAAATAAATAACTTAAATTTAAAATACAATTATATTATATTAATTTTTTGATTAAATTAATTAGTATAATATTACAATTTTTATTTAAAATTAATTAAATAAAGTTTTTATTAAATAATTTTATTGATTTAAATTAATATTATATATATATATATTAAATAATAAAATATAAATTAATACATTTTGCATAAAAATCAAGCATTTAAATAGCATTTAAAAAAATATATAAATTAATTAATTATTTAATTTAAGTAAAAAATTGTTGAGCAATCTTTTTTCCGATTACTAAATGGATTGGCCTTGCACACTTTAGCATCTAAATCATTTTTGACTTCATCAAGCAACTTTATCATTGTTGTTTGTTCACGGTGTTTACAGACAGCCTTATTTTAAAAATAAAAAATTTTTATATAAAATAAATTAAGTGATTAAATAGTTTTTTTAATAAAAAATATAATTAGAAAAATATTCTATATAAACAAATTTTATATAAATATAAAATTTTTTCTATATTTTTTATTATTGTTTTTTAATTAATTATGAAATATTAAAATTTAATCATGTAAATTAATCAAATTTACAAAAACTAATAAATATTAGTCTATAACTGTATATACTGTACATACATAATAAATAAACACAATAATAAAAAAAATAATAAATAAAATATTTTGAAAAATCAATAAACTTAAATAAATAAACATTTAAAATAAATAAAAATATTAATTTAAATATTGTCTTTATTTTTAAAAATTAATTGTTAAGTTATTAAAATTTTTGAAAATAAATAAATATAATTTTAATAATAAAAAATAAAACCTTTGACACTTGTATGGCACAATCAAATATAGTCCAATATAGGCAGCACAGGTAGTTTGAATTTCCGACATGTTTGCATTTATATTGCTCTAAAACACAATACAATAGTCCTAATTCAGATTTTTTGAAACACTGGTCACTTTCAAGCTTATCTATGTCACGGTAAAGACCAAACAATTTGATACCGTTTACTACTGATTGCTGCCTAAAACCAATAATAACTACTATTACCAATAGTATCGGTAGTTTACTGGACAGGTAGGCATTAGTCATCTTTTTATATTAAGTAATGAATTACTTTAAAAAAAATAAATTATAATAATATACTGTATTTAATAATTTTTTAATATTCAATACCTTTTTTATAATTTGATAATTTTTTTATTATATAAATCAATAATTAGCTAAAATTATTTTTTGAATTTATATACAGTATATAAATAAAACTAAAAAAAAATATTTTTTTTGGTAGAAATTAAAATGTCACTAATGTTTACCTTTTAATATTATATTATTTTATAATAAGTTATTTAGAAAAAATAACTCAAATTTTATTTATAAAATAATAAAAATAATTTTGTAAATAATAAGGTTTTAAATTTAGAAATGTCACGTATTTAAACATTTATTTTAAACAAATATTTTTTTTCATTTACTTAAATTACAATAAAATACTTTTAATCGCAAAACAAATATTTATAAAATGTTTACATACTTTTAATAATAATTTGTTTTTTAATATTTCTAAATTAATAATAATTATATATATATATTAAATATTAGAATAATTCACTATTTTATTGTAAATTACACTTAATTAGAAATGATTTATAATTATTTTAGTAATTAATAATATGAAATTTATTTAAATTTTATTTTATTATAATAAATAAAAATGAAAAAAATTTCAAATACTTTTTATTAAATTTGCTAATATTTTATTCATCAATAGTTAAATTACTTTGTTTTTACAAATTTTATTTTTGTTAATTTAATTAATATAAGTTATACATTAATTAATTTTTTTGATAACATTAAATAATTATTATTTACTTTTTAAAAAAAATCAAATTGTTTAAATTATTATTCATTAAATTAATATTAATATTTTAATTTAATACATTTAAAAAAACTGTAAAATTGATCATAATTTGATTTACAATTTTAATTATGTAATTAATTATATTGTAGTTAGATATAGTGTTCTCTATGATGTTATATAATTTTTATTAGCATATACTTAACTAAATATTTTTATTATTTTTAAATATTGATTATAAAATTTTATAATAAATATTTTTTTTTTAAATATAATTTTTTGTTTCATAGACAATGTTGGTTGAGATTGCTATACTAATTCACGTACTAATATACCGTTCCAGTAATGAGTGGTTAGTCTAAAAATTATCTCATGTATAATAATCATAATTATATAATACCAATAATGATGATCATAATAATAACGGTCAACTATAACTACTATGGGTACCATTGATGTATAGAATTGAATGATTATAAATAAATAATCTATATTTTTCAATCCACCGACAAATATCATAGAATACAACAGTACTTAATTAAAAAAAATAATAGTCAAAAAAAATTAATTAATTAATAAATACCGAAAAATTAATTAATAAATAAAGAAAAATTAATTAATTAATAAACAATTAATTAATTAATTTTTTGAATTATTCTAATTTTAACATAAAATATTATTAAAGTAAATTTATTTTATTTATTTATCTTAAAAAAAATAAATAATTATTTTAATAATATTTAAAAAAATAGAATAATATAGTTTTGTTTTTGTAATTTTTTTTATTTAATTTAAATATATATATATATATATATTATAACAATTAATTAGTTTCCCATAACTTACTTGCTATTAGTGTAAAATTAATGCCACCATTGAATTGATTAATCCATAGATTGGCTAACTGTACGCTTAATGCTGGCCTAAATCTAGTTAAACAGGTTATGAAAAATGACCATGATAATATTATTAGTCTAATTATTATGATTTGTTTATATTTCATTTTTATTATTATTAAGTTATTAATAATTATTATCAAAATTTGTTTAAATAATTATTATTTAAAAATAAATAAATAAATAGTATTTAATATTACAAATTATATTTTTCTAAATAGAAAATTTTTTAATATCTAATAGTTTTCAAATATAATAGATTTTTAAAAAAAATCATAAAAAATTCTATATATAATTATTAACATTTATAAATTGATTTAATATTTATTTTTTGTTGTTGTTGTTGTTGTTGTTGATAATATTAATTAATAATAAAATATTTGTAATAATATTTCCATATATTATTAGAATATAATAAAATTGCTTTATTATTATAATTATTATTGAATTTATATTTATGTTATTATTATTTTTGTTGTTATAAGTCGTTGCTATGTTTTAGTATAATATTGTATTTAATTAATAAACTTAATACTAATAAAAATTAATTGTTCTAGAAAACTTTTATGAATATAAAATATATATATATATATATGAAATTATTGATTTTTAATAAGTTTGTATTTATATCTAATGCTAAAATACTAAAGTATATTAACATCATTGATAATTAACAAAAATTAAAATTAAACATTTTTATAGTAAATAACTAAAATATTAACTTATTTATTGATTATTTAATAAATAAAAAAAATATTTTTATAGAGTATTGTTAAATAATTATTTATTTATCATATAATTATTATTTGTTTCATAAAAATTTCATTAATAATTATTTATTTAGATTTTAAATCTAATTTACAAATTATTTTTGTGATAGATATTGTATAATTATTTTAATATTATCTTATTATCTTAATATCTTAATATAAATTATTAATTTAAATATTTCTAAAACATAAAAAAATTAATTGTTCTAATTATTAATAATTTTTATTAGCTATAGCCTTAATTAATATAATAATTAATAATATGAAATTTATATTTTATTATATTTTATTTTATTACAATAAATAAATGGAAAAAATAGAAAAATGTTTTTTATTATTAAATTTGTTAATATTTTATTCATCAATATTTAGATTACTTTGTTTTTACATATTTTATTTTTGTTAATTTATTTAATATAAGTTATACATTAATTATTTTTTTTGATAACATCAAATAATTATTATTTACTTTAAAAAAATCAAATTGTTTAAATTATTATTTATTAAATTAATTATAATAATACATTTATTCAAAAAAACTGTAAAATAGATCATAATTTTATTTACAATTTAATTATGTAATTAATTATATTGAAGTTAGAATGTAATCTCAAATTTTTTATATAATTTTTATCAGTAACTATTAATTATAACTAACAAAATTATAATTGAAAAAATTAATTATTTTTAAATATTGATTATAAAATTTTATATTAAATAATTTTTTTTAATAAAATTTTTGTTTCATAGGCAATGGCGGTGCCGATGGCTATACTAATTGTTATTGTTGTTGTTGTCTACCGTTTTTGTGCGTCTATTAAAAAAAAATAGTTTGGTTAGCTGGCAATGCTGGATAAATAATGGTATTATTATTATTGATATTTGAATGTCCAGTAATATCATTATGAATTAATGACCCGCGACTCTCCCGATCCTATACTATCAATACCGCTGATAGCCGGGTAGGAGTAGGGGGTCGGGGTTCAGGTATACCTTTCCCGTATACCTGATTGGTTAGTATAAAAATTGCTGTATGTATAATGCTCATGATTAGAAAATAACATTGATGATGTTGATATCTATAATTGTCCAAGATAACTAGTATGGGTACCGTTGATGTAAATAATTGAAATAGAAATATTAAATAATCTAAATTTTTCAATGCACCGACAACTCCCATAGTATAGGACACTACTAAATAATAATAATAAAATAGTAGTTAAAATTAATTAATTAATAAATATAATTAATAAATTAATTAATAATTATTTTTTATTTAAATGATTATTTATTTATTTTTTGTTTAATTAACCATAATATACTGTATTATTAAATTTTTGAATTTGAATTTATTTATATTTTTTTTTAGATAATTATTTTAATAATAATATTTGGAAAAAAATAAAAGAGTTTTGTTTGTTCAAAAAAAAAATTTATATTAAAAAATAAAATAATATTAAAATAATTTTAATTCAAATATGTATATATTAATTAATATCAATTTAATTAGTTTGCATGACTTACTTGCTATTAGTGTAAAATTAATGCCGCCATTGAAATGATCAGACCGTACTCTAGTTAACTCTTGTCTAAATGCTGGCCTAAATCTAGTTAAATAGATTACAAACAATGACCATGATAATATTATTAGTTTAAATACTATGATATGTTTATTTTTCATTTATTATTATTATTGTTAATTAATTAAGTTATTTTAAAATTTAGTTTAAAAAAAATAACCTAACTTTAAAAACAATAAAAAAAATTATAATTTAAATAGAAATTTTCTAAAATTCAAATAGTTTTCAAAATATAATAGACTAGCTAGTAAATAAATATATATTTTTATTAATTTTCACTTTTATATATTATTTTAATATTATTTTATTTTTTGGTAATTTAATTTATTTATTTTTATTGCTCGTTATTCGTTGCTATAGTTTTATTATAATATAGTATTTTTAATTAATAATCTATAATAATAAAAATTAATTGTTGTACAAAACTTTTATGAATATAAAATATATATGAAATTATTGATTTTTAATAAATGATTTTGTATTTTTATCTAATGCTAAAATACTAAAGTACATTAACAGCCTTGCTAATTAACAAAAAAAAATAAAATTAAACATTTTCTATAGTAAATAACTATAATATTAACTTGTTTATTGATTATTTAATAAATAAAAACAATACTATTTTTATAGAGTATTGTTAAATAATTATTTTTTTATCATATAATTATTATTTGTTTCATAATAAAATTAATATATAACAATATATATATATAATATTTTAATTTTATTAATAATTATTTATTTAGTTTTTAAATCTAAATTTACCAATTATTTTTGACATAAATATTTTATAATTATCTTAATTATCGAAAATACTTATGCTAACAAGATTATTTATATTTAAATAAATATTTTTTTTCAATAATCTGGGTCAACTCTAATATATTAATTTTTATTTATATCATGATTGATTAATGATTATTTATCAACTATATATACTAATTAAATACTAATTTAGTTAATTTAATCTTTTAAATTAGTAATTAAATAAATTACTAATCTAAATATTTCTAACACTTAAAAAAATTAATTGTTTTAATTACTTATAATATTTATTTTTCTTTAGCTATAGCCCTAATTATTATAATAATTTAATTAATTAATGTATTA